TAGCACCTGCTCACCTTTCAGAAAACAAAAACAAAACTTGTTGCAGACATTTAAGTTGACTTCCTGCGCCCCAACGTAAACGTCCCACACTTCGATACGCTTCTCCTTACCCCGGGCACGCCTCGGGGTCCGTTAGCCCCAAGGGCCAGCAAGTAGAACTGTGCGCTTCCTTTGGTTGCCCTTCCCATTCCCAGTCCCTAACACTCCCCGAAGGATCCAAGTTCCCCGCCCAGTTAATACATGATCCCGGCTCAACACTAAAGAAGAGCTGTCGGGCAGAAGGGCCCTGACTCCAGGGAAAGGAAGAGGAAACTTTGTCAATGCTCTGCACTACCACATGACCCATTGCAGGCTGAGCTGGGGAATCGTCCTGCACCTTGCCCAAGAGAGCACGCGCGCGCGGGCGATGGTGTTCATGGTTGAGCGGCTGTTGGGTTGGTAAATGACAGCCAGATTCCGGGAGGGAAGCACGAGTCTCCTAAGTGGGGCTAGGAGAATGTTCCCAAACCACCAGCACCAACACAGGAAACCATCTCTCCAGAGCAGCAGTGCTTTTCCCTTGTGCCCAGTGGGCCCTTAAATATATAAATGAGTATCTCACTGCAAAGCCCCTTTACATTCTTCTCATTGAATTGTGTTTTAAAGTAACCACTACTTGGTGTAAGTGAGGAAAGGAAGAAAAAAAGGAACGGACCCTAGAGCAAGATTAGACAAGCCTAAAGGGACTAACGAACTCCAGAGGAGAGAGGGTAAAGAAACTAAGGGAGATTTCCAGTTCAATTCATTTTCCCTATTTCCAGGCAAGGCTTTAGAGGGGGAATTTCCAGGTTGTTTTTCTTGGTTTCTGAAAGGGAGAAGCCCTTAATCTTTAAGAGGCATTGAAGGAAGTAGAAAGGCAACCTCACACTAAAACTCGGAATCAAGTATTGTCCTTGGACGTAACTGGCCAGTTTCTGGACTTGATTTCCCCACTTGGACTCTCACCTCTACTACCACAGTCCTATTAAAGCCCTTGTCTCCTCAGATTTTGCCTACATTATAGGCTATAATATTATATTATTATAATATAGAGAACCCAAATCTCCTGAGGTAGCATCTAAAGAGCTCTTCAATTTAATTCTGCGTATCTTTGTGGAAGGAGAACTCACTCTTAGGCTTTCCTCTTTCAGTGTGTGGTCACAGCTACCATAACTGGAGAAAGGAGGAGGTTATATGGAAAAAGAAGGGTAGTAAATTTCCCCTTGTCCGGGTTGAAAAAATGTTAGTAATAGGAAACTGTGGCATTTTACAAGTTAGAATTGAACTCCTTGGGTATTCTCCAGTTCCATAATGCTGGCTAGTAGTAGGGCTGCAGAGAAGGGAAGAGGAGGTGGGGGCGGGGCAAGGTGAGGGCTGTAGTCCCAGCTGTGCAAAGTTCAATGAACTGGGCTCAGAGCTGGAGAGAGAAACGCCAGTGGAGCCATTATGACTCCAAACTTATCTATTTGGAAGAAAAAGACCCAGAAGATTTAAAGTAATCTGTTGTTAAATGTTATTTGGATACATTAAATAGCTTCCAGAGATAGAAAATAAAATTTGCTTATGGGACTCCTTTGAAAAACCTATTTTTCCAAATGGATTGTGTGTCTAAACAGGACATTATAAAAAAAGAAATCCAAGTTATTTTATTTTCTTACATTCGTATTTATTTTGAGTATCTATTGTTGTCAATGATTAATTTTGGGGAATATTTATTTATAAATTTCAGAGTGACTTGATTACCAATTTACTTCAAAGTAGATTGAAATAATCACCTTGCTGACCATAATTATCACTTAGAGAGGAAGTATTCTCTTAACTGAGTTTAGTTGCAAAACACATTTTACCACAACTCAAAATTGGTATTTAATGTTAAAGGCACACTTTTTTTTTAACAAATGTAATCGTGTCCATTAAATATTTTAAGCAATCTTACTTTTCAACGGGTTATTTTCCTCTTAACATATGAAGGTATCACATTAAAATACATTATAGATAAATGTTCTACAATATTACTGCTAAATCAACAGAAAACCAATTGATCTTGAGGAAAGGTTAATTAATTTGGGCTACAGGTCTCCTACTTTGGTCTTCAATAAAAGGAATTTCTATTGATTGTGGCAGGGATTTTAAGAAGAAATTTTAATAAGCATTCTCATGGAACTGAGATCAATGTTTAAAATGCCAAAACAACAAGGTTTCAATTTTTTTTTACCAGTCTGGAAAATATTTGCTGCTATGGCTTCATTCAAACGTTAGACTCGTAAGAAAAAACGAGTTTCTGCTCAACAGTGACGTCAGGTATGCCATCTTTTGAAAATGAAAACAGCAGTTAAAAACTTTAATAGAACTTTGTTTTCGTCGCTGTAACTCTGCCCAATTTATTCTGCTAGACCAGGGATTTCCAAGGGACAATGGAAATTAAAATGTGTCTTTGAACCCAGCATTGGTCATCTTGAAGACAGCGGACGGAAGCTGCCTTCTACTGCCGAACACTTTTTGAGAGTTTAGCGTCTGCTGAATAGAATTGGTGAGCTTTTATTCTTATCTCTCTTTGGTTGTTTTTTTCTTTTTTCTTTTTTTTTAAGCAGTGTTTTTTAAAAAAAAAAAAGTCTCAGAGCTGAGCATTCGAACGCAAGGTCACAGCAACCACCGCAGCTTCCTTCGCCTGCGCTGGACTCCCTGGGCAAAACCTTTGGCTCTTTTTCTAAGTGTGTGCTCGCTCGCTCGGTGGTGGCGCGGTCGGCGGCTCCGGGGGCCCGGCCAGCGGTCCACGGTGCTCTGCTTCCCTCCCCTTCTTCACACCCTTCCCCCACTTCGGGCGAAATTCCTAACTAGCCTGAGGGTGGGGGAGACGCGGCGGCTGAGCCGTGAGCATCCCCTTTCCGGCCCCCTTGCTCGGGAGCATCCCAAGTGAAAACCAGAGGGGACGCCGCGGCGAGAGGGTAGGGGGTGGGGGTGGAAGCGGACTGGGGTCGTGTCGGGGAGGGTCCCCGCACTCCTTCCAAACCACAGCTGTTTTCCTCCTGGCCCCAGGCGCGGCGCCCCAGCCTGCGCGTCCGGGCGTTTGTGTGTCCGGGTTTCCGCGGCGGGGATTACGCAGCGGGAGCCGCGGTGACCGCGCAGGCCGCCGGGGCAGCAGGCCGGTAACGAGGCGCCCGGCCTTCTTTGTTGACTTTTACGTCTCCGGCTCAACAGAAGATTTATTCGCCGGGAGGGGAAAATGCCCAAACAATGAACAACTAACTGCACTTGTCATCTCGAGATGCTTGCAGTCCTGCTCGGTCCCTTCGGCCCAGGCAACCAGCTGTCCAGACTCCCCTCCTCCCTCCCCCCCCTCCGCCCCTACCGCAAACCGGAGGGCATCACTACAGTGCGGGGCAGCCGACCCGGTCGCCTGGAGGTGACCGGTCTGTGAAAAGCCAGCGGTGCAGAAAGTGGGCCCTCCGCACCTCTGCCCAAAGGAAAACCCGCTCCCCACGACGGGCCGGAAGCCCAAGACTCGTCGCCTGCAGCAGCAACCTTCTATTTGCAACACCCCCCCACACCCCATCCCAAAGGAGAAACCTCTGCCTAGTAAAAGAGCAAGAAGAGCCCACTAGAACTTGCAGGGGTGAAGCAGGACCCTGATATTGCTAATATGTTAAAAGGAGGAGAAAGGGAACCTCACGAAGGGGCAGCACCCAAATCAGATGCTGTAGATTCGAGGGACCAGCAAAAATACCGAGGCCCAAGCTCATGCATTTATATTACATTTGGAATTCAAATCTGCCAACGTTTGTTTACCTGCCATATAACTGTTGAGATGGAAAGCTTTTTCCTCTTTTTGGGATTTTAGTCGCCTCCCGAGGCCTCCAAATTAAGTTTTGAAATTACTCAAACCAGCAATTGCTCTCCCCCCCCCTCCTTACCCCCCACATACACCTTCTTTCATTAGTTGAAGAGAGCAGAGCTGGGATTTCTGGATTTTTCTCAAGTGCTACGTGGCACCCTTCTCTCATCTGGGGAAGCAATTACGCGATAATTAAGCGACTCGCACAGCTCTTTTTATCTTGTCCGCAATGTGGAGTGGGGCGATCAAAGTAAAAGCTGTCCAAGTTCAAGCCCTGCAGAGGATGGAGTCCATACACAGGGGCTCGGGCAGGGCAGCCTCTGCTTTGGCTGGCGTTGTTATTGTTGATGTCAATCTCAACAAGACTTACAAAGAAATAGGTGGACTGGAAAGTGAGCCTACTATCAAAGCAGATTAATGATTTTGTGATCCCAAGCAACTATGGGGTGTGAAGTTGCATTTCAAAGCTTCTTGCAAAGCAAACAAATCATCAGCCTTAAATTCTTAGGGACAGAATTTGTAGAGACGATATTTTTCAAAATATCCTCACGAAATGCAAAGTACTAGCTACTCTGAAAATGTCCCAGTGACACAAAGCTTGCCCTGCAGGAATGAATTAACTCCCTCTCATTTCAACCTAAGCTACCAGTACGGTGCTACAGCATTTTCCTTCTCTTTTAATAAGGGCACCCAGTCTCTGTTGGAGATAACTTAATTTTATCACCAGAACTGGTATTTCGTTCTCACTTGAGTACTCAGATAAAAAGAAATAAATAAAAAGAAATAAAAAAGAAACAATACATTGGAGAAGGAGGAAACTAATGCTATTTGATTTCATAGTGGAAAAAGCTCAAATGTGACACAGAAGGTTTATGGCCATACATAACAAAAAATACTGAAATAAACGCTACTGGAAATAAAGAATTTTTAAAGTCCCAATATTTGGAATGTTAAGTCAGTTTTTTTTTCTACCCACTTGAATTTTGATGCATTTTACTAGCTATGTGTTCATTTAAATCTCAGATGCAAACAGTATTGTTTTCGATTATTTTTCTGTTTGTCATTGACATGAAATTCCAGAATTTGAAAACTATCATATTCAGAAGGTCCATTTTGGATTTGATTAAGTGAAGCAAAGTAACAGAAATCCTTTTTGTTAACATTTGATTTATTTAAAGTCCTTAACTGCAAATGATCAGGAACATACTCCACGGCTTAAAATCTCATATTATTTTCGTTATTGAGATCAAAATATCTTAATTACAATCACGTTGATAAAAATTAACATTTTAATTTCAAATCTGAACCATCATTCAAAGCAATTTCAGCTGTAAAGAAAAAAGAATAAACCATGCAATAAATTAACATTGAGAAAGCAAAGAGGAATAATAATGGGACCCCTTTGGCTACACTAACACCATGTCCAACTGTGGAAAGTGCATTAACACTGGATGAAACAGGCCTAGGATAGTGAGGGTGATAATTAAAATGGCCACAACCAATAGGATTTTGGAACCTTACACCCAATTCTGAAATACAGTTTCCTATAACTTCTCTCTCCTCAATGTTATGACATTCCTCTTTTGTTTCTGAGAAAAAAAATCATTTAAGTGGAAATACATACACAGAAGCTAATTTTATACATATGACCTTAGATTGACATGACCATGGTGCTCCATGGAATGAGAGCAGAGTTCTTCAGCAGGCAATTCCTGAGAATTGGTTCCCAGGGCCAAGTGGGTAGAGAGGACAGAGGGAGGGGGTCTTGTAACTCCTTGGTCAGGCAACTCTTGAAAATGTAGTATGCGTATCACTTACCTATTACCTCTATATGTTACTCAAAGTATGGAGAATGTTTACAGATCTTTGCATGAGTAAGTCCATAGACAATATATGTGCATTTCACTTAAAGACACCTGCTATCTGAACCAGAAATAGAAGCTGGAGAAACAAATGGCTGGCTGTGCCATTTGTAGTAGTCTGTTTACATCTTACTGCCTAACTGCAGCACTGTCTTTCAGTACTTTCAAGAGCCCCTAGTGAGTACTTCTTTTTTCACCATTTCAATTCTTAAGATTAAGAATATTGCCACAGACCTACCTGTAAACTTGCATGATGGGGTCAGGTAAGGAGGAGTGGGGGAAGCACAAACAAATATTTTACAAACTTGACCATGTTTCTTTCTTTTTTAAATAAACCCTGCAAAGACTAGAATGTGTCTGCAGGGGAAAGAAGGGAGAGAGGGAAAAAGGCAAAGGAGGGATTATATATATATATATACAGTTGTGGATCATTAAACTCTGCAGGAAAAAAAATTGGTGGGGTTGGTGTGGTCTTTGCAATAATATACATAAAGAGTTTTGAATACAATAATAAAGTAACAGTCCTTTCCCTGGGGAGGGGGGGGGGTTGTGCACGGAAAATAAAAAATAGTTGGGATTTGATTATGCTGTTGGTTTGGTACATGTGGTTTTGTTTGTTGAAGAGTGTTTGTTTTTCATTCTCTCTTGCTACCAGCATGGCCATGCAGACAAAACCCCAGTCCCGGGAGCTAGGAAGTGTTTAGGACAGGTCTGGAATACACACCTTGGTAGTAGGCCGGTTCCAGGGCTGAGGGCTCGATGGGGCTCCTACTGGCCACCGAGGCGCTGCCCAGAGGAAGGCTGGCGGGCAAGGCGGCGCCGTAGGGAGAGTACTGCAGAGCCTGCTCGTAAGCCTTGAAGTCCAGCTTGTGCTGCTGCTCCGAAGAGGACATGAGGTTGTTGATGGAGAAGGGATGGTTGAAAGAGTAGTGGGGATCCCCTTTCAGGTGCAGCTGCGACTCATGGGGGGCCAGCCCGTGCGCCGGATGGGAGGGGGGCACAGAGGCCAGCGCCCCGGGCCCGGAGCTGATGGGGGGCGCAGAGGAGGCTGGAGTCTTCAACTCCGCGGCGCCCCCTGTCGCCGTGGCCCCGCTGTGGTCCAGAGTCTGGGGGCTGGCGGCGGGCCCCGCGGCCGGCGCGCCCTCTAGCTGGCCAGCCTTCGCGTGCACGCCCCGGTGGAGGGGTGAGTCGGCGCCGGGGTTCCCCGCGCCGGAGGGGTCCTTGCGGCTTTCGGGGCCTCCCTTGGAGCCGCCGCCGCCGCCACCACCGCCACCACCAGCGCCCCCAGCTCCGGGCTGCTTCTCGCACTTGAAGCGCTTTTGACGGCGCAGGTAGCAGCCGTTCTCGAACATGTTGCCCGAGTCCGGGTGCAGCGTCCAGTAGGAGCCCTTGCCCGGCTTGTCCGGAGAGCGCGCCACCTTGACGAAGCAGTCGTTGAAAGACAGCGAGTGGCGGATGGAGTTCTGCCAGCGCTGCTGGTTCTGCCGGTAGTAGGGGAAGAGATCCATGATCCACTGGTAGATCTCGCTCAGCGTCAGCATCTTGCTGGGCGCCTGCTGGATGGCCATGGTGATGAGCGAGATGTACGAGTAAGGCGGCTTGGCGTGCGGATAACTGCGCTTGAAGGTCTTGGCATCGCCGCCGCTGCCGGCTCGGCTGCGACCCAGGTTGGACGGCGCGTACGCCATGGGGCTCATGCACGGGTTCATGGCCGCCGCGTAAGGGCCCAGGCCGTTCATGGAAGCGGCCGGCTGGGCGCCCATGGCCCCCATGCCGCCCGGGCTCAGCGCCGTGCCCATGGCGGTGACGCCCGCCGCCGTCATGCTGTTCATGGCGCCTGCCGAGCCCCCTGGCATACCCGACACAGCGCCGGGGCTCAGGCCGGCTCCCAGGCCCGGGTTTGCGTAAGACATGTTGAAGGAAGCCGGCGTCATGTTGCCACTCGTGGTCATGGTGTTCATGGTCATGTAGGTGTTCATGGAGTTCATGGAGCCCAGGCCCGAGTTCATGTTGCTGACCTGGACGGAGGAGTAGGCCTGGAACCCGGGCAGAGAGAGAGAGAGGGGCGCCCCGAAGGGCGGGGTTAGTGGTGGGTGCCAGAGGCTGGGGCTAACCCTCACCCCCAGCGAGCGGTGGGCATTTGTGCAAGGCACGGGGACGCCCCCCCTTCCCCACCACACACACACACACTCCCAGGCCACATTGTTAGGCGCCCTTCCAAGCCCAAGCAAAGATGTCTTGCACGGCAGGGGGAAAATCCTAACGCGGCAGGCATGAAAGACAAGCGCTCACACAAAATATTGTCCCCAGGAAGATGTGTAATCGCCTTACACGCCAGGCTTAGGGGCTGGCGTCCAGGGCCCCTTCATCTCCTGCGTCCACGCCAAGCCGTGCCCCATGCCTCTAGCCTCTATCCTACAGCTGTCTTGGCAAAACGCCTTTGGGGCAAATGGTTTCTACAACCCGGAAAACGGAATGATTCTCTCACCCTGGCCCTCCTCACTTCGCCTCCAGGGTGCCAGGGTTCCCAAGGCGCTTCCTCACGGCAGGGAGCCACGCGGGGCACCAGCTCTGCGCCCACCTTGCCCACCCTAGGCTGGCAGACCGCCCGGCCATACCGCAGTCTCAGTTGTGCTGGGTGGCTGTTAATGAAACTCTCTTTGATAGAGGAAATCATTTATGGCTGCACCGTCCCCTCCCCTTCCCAAGTTCCCCAACAGCTGGCTTTATTGCTAAACAACGTGGGTTTCTTTTTTCTTTCTGGTTGTTTATTACAATTTAGAAGGAGCGCTTTTCACCTACTTCAGCGACTGCAATATTTAAAACTTAAAAACAATTTTTACAACCGAAGGGACTGGGAGCGATGCATAATGATATCAACGCACCACACACACACAATGTTAACATGACTTTACATAGATCTTCATGCATCCATTGAAAAACTTGCAGCTTGTTAACCTATTTCTGATCCCCTTACTCTTGGAAATTTTTTGCTGAGACAACTTGTTGAAATAATCATCTGTGTTTCTTCCCACATACTAATACTTTGGACTGTATTTCAAAGCCTGAGCTTTGAAACGACACGAGTAGTTTGGAATAATTTAAAATTCCAAAAAAATTCCCCTGACTTTCTCTTAATGCTATTCTTTATACTTCCTAATTCCCGGCTTTAAGATGTAAGAAAGCTCTTTCCATAGGGGTCTTAACTGGCTGTTGGGTCGAGATGACGGCATCAGAATTAAACCTCTGGAAGAGCTCCTATTTTTTTCTTTTTAAAAAAATCATTGGCGATGAAACTCTTATCAGTTGCGAACTGGGAACTCTCTAAGTATTTTCAAATTATGGAGCCCAGAAATACTGAAAACTGAGTGTCTGATAATTCAGCAGAGAATTTTGATGTCTTTAAATTTGTGTTTTTCAGCAAAAAAGGACTGCATTTGAAAACATTAGAGGTGAGCAAATTAGGAGCACCCTGCAAGATATTACTAAAGCAAATAAATTCAAGAAATACTTCTGTGAATATATAAATCGAGTATTTCCTGATTTTATATTTTCTGCCCAGGTCTTAAGATTTTTTTTAAACTTTTGGATTTATTTTCTTTCTCTCTTCCTCAGATTACCCAAGGCTGTTTTCATAAGCGTTTTCGATAACGGTATATTAAACGTTAAGGGGGTAATAACCAGCTGTTTCCAAGGGGAAAATGCTTTTAAATGGTATTGGTCCTGCCTGTACCCGGTTATCCTAGCAATCCTTTTGTGCACATTGTAAAATAACCCCCCTGAACATGCCACCATGCCACCAAGGGGACAATGAAGAGAAACAGGTTCTTCGTCCCGAGTTCTGGGGGGGGGGGGGGAGGCGGGATTCTGCTCACACCAGCGCCACCCAGCGGTTCTACGGAAGAACGAGCTCACTTCTCTGCAAACAGGGCTTTTGAAGAACAAGTTTGATAAAAAAAAAAAAAAAAAATTAGGAATCGTTTCATTCTCCCGAAGCCCAACTTTAGCGGCAGAGTGCTTTTACCGTCAGACAGACGCGAAGGAAGAGGGGAGGGAAGAAGAGGCCGCCCTGAAGGCGAGTTCTGGGCTTTCTCAGAGTTGCTCCCAACTCCTGCCAGCGCCCGCCCGCCCGCCCTCCCGCCCGCGTCCCGGGCTGGCTCCAGCTCCCGCTCTTCGCAAGGCAGAAGCAAGCGCTTCCCACTCCCCGTGTTTCCAAAGCCGGCGGCACTTTTCTAAAACTCTCGCCCGCTGCAAGCTCCAGGACCCGGCGAGCAGCCGGGTGCTCTGGGGCCCCAAGACCCAGAAGGGGCCACCCTGGGCGGGCGATCGGCCATGCCACCCTAGAGGCACCCCAGAGCCCGCCCGCCACCCTGCTTTGCCCCGCACACATCTCACGCCGATCTCCCCCCCAACACACACACGCGCGCTCCGGGGACGCCCCATCGGCTCCCCGCCTCTCACCTCCTGCGTGTCCGCGTAGTAGCTATTCCAGTCGCTGCTCTCATGCCCTTCCATCTTCACAGCCCCTAACATCCTGGAGCCACCCGGTCCGCTGCAACCATCAAGCCCTGGGCGAAGCGACGGGCGACCTC